TGGCATTTTTGTTGTTTATTTTCATTTTTTATTAATTTATATTTTACATTCCAATCCAAGTTCCCCTCCCTCCTTCCCTCCCACTCCCATCTGCACCATGGAGAGGGTAAGGCCTCCCCCAGGAAATCTATTAAGTCTGCCACTTCATCTAATTGAGGAAGGACCAAGGCACCTTTCCACCCCCACACCCCTGTGTCTAGACTGGGCAAGGGATCTCTCCATATAGAATGGGCTCCACTAAGTCAGTTTGTGCATTGAAGTTAGATCTTGGACCCACTGCCAGTGGCCTCATATATTGTCCCAGTCACACCATTGTCACCATATTAATTAGGTCTTAAAAAGGCATGACAGTATTTGTAAGTGTTTTATTCAATTTATTTTACTTTTTGAGATTATAATTATATTATTTCTCATTTCCTTGCCTCCCTCCAAACTCTCCCATACCTAGATACATAAAAACAACCTGTTCAGTCTGTATGTTATCTTTATGTGTGTTTTCGGGCTGAACATTTGGTATTGGATAAGCAATTGTTCTTCTCTGGAGAAGTCTAATTCTCCCACTATCAGTATCCCTTCCTTACCTATAGTTCTTCGTGTAGGCATTGGCTTGCCCAATCATACTAGTGTGTCTATTGTAGTTGTCCTTATTCAGCTCCTGTTTAGGAAGTCATGCTGGTGAGACTTCCTGACATTCATAGCAATTTTCCAAAGGAAGAAAGCAACCAACAACCCTATCCAGTTATGAAGCCAATGAACCAGAATGACCATCATGACTTGATAGTCATAAGTGTGAAGTAGTGGCATTCATATCTTGGCGATAACCAACAGCTCTCTAATTGAATATAGGACCCATTCAACAAGGGAAAATCCATACCTGGTATTGGAAACCTAGCCAACTACACAATGCTAGTGAAGTCATAGATCTCAAAAGGAGAATCTATAACTGACACTTATTAAGCAGGATAATCCCTACCTATATTCTAAACGTTTGTCCTTACACCCACAGATAAGTGTGATCTCCATCCCATAGCAAGAAAACTTCTCTTTGCAACAGATGGAAATCATTACAAAAAATATAACCAATCAAAATTCATATTTGTGGAACCCAATTCTGATAGCTACATCTATAATACAATTTCCACACTTAAAACTCAGGGACCATTGCAGAAGAGAAATATTGTAAGAGCCTGTGGAGTTTGCTGTGAGGTTGTGTATTCTAGGCATTGCATTTTGATGTGTGCTACAATGTGGATAAAACTTGAATGTTTCATTAAGTGATATGAGCCAGACACAAGAGGATAAATACTGTATAATTCCACTTACCTGAGCCACATAGAAGATTCAAATGGATACAAAAAGTAAAAGAGTGGTTACAGTGTGTGTGTGTGTGTGTGTGTGTGTATGTGTGTGTGTGTGTGTGTAGAAGGGAAGAAAGGGGAGTTATTATTGTTCAATAGATACATAGTTTCATTATGAGAAATTGCAAAAGTTCAAGAAATGGAGAATGATGTTTGCAGAACAATGTGAATGTACTTAATGCCACCGATATCATTAACCTATGCATTAAAATGGCTACATTCATAAAATTAGGTTAAGAGTATTTGTCATAATAAGAAAAAATGTTAAGAAAAGATAAATGTATCTATAAAATTGCTTCCAGCTTATTATAAAATACATACATTTGTAAGACAAATTATGTCTCTTGAAAAAGATATATATAGTAGTTTTCGCTGGATCAGCAGGTAGCAGATTCCTGAGATGCAGGACTAGAGGATCAGAAATAATAAAGGTAGGAAAATTGGGATCAGGAGGTCTTACACAAGTTACACCTTATGCCAAGCAAGTTTATTAAAATGTACAACATCTTATATACGGCTGTAGTGGGAAAATGGGACAGAGTCAGCAAAAAGCTATCATACAGTAGGATGAAGTCAGCAAGAGGAAAATCAAGCAAAATTTCCCAAAGGAAAACATAGGATGTCTCAAGTACTTCACAAACCAAGCACTCAGGGACCTTGGTACTGATCACCACAACCCCTCAAGTGGGAGAAATGTCTGGTTTCCAGGATCTAAAACTGCAGTTCCCCCAAATGCCTGACTCCCAAGTCATTACTGGCCTTGCCAAGTATGCTCCTTATTTTAGACAAGGAACTAAGTTACTTCTCCATATCTCATGTCCTCAGGAAAAGCCCCTAACCAGCAACGGTGGCAAGTCTGTTATGGTGGTAACCACTTGCTCTCTAGTTGGATTTGAGGCCTGGTTCTGTAAACCAAAAGCCCATGGGTAGGGATGTTAAATGACCTAATGGAGGAGGGCTGCTATTTTTTTTTTTTGCTAACTGGACATGATGTGTCTAGCACATATACCAAATGATTATTGCTGCTATCAGTTTTGGTTTAAAGAATGCTTTTTTGGAACAAGCAGTGGTAACTGCAGAGACTTGGTATCGTCAAAGTGATCAGAACAGTGACAACTGAATGCTCAGCAATAAACAGAATGTCTACATCATTTCCCTGCCTCCAAGGCTCAGACAGGACTCTGCAGAACACTGCACAACATGGGATGTACATGTGTTATACAGAAATTTCCTCTGAGATTCCATCTTAAAGGGAAGGGCATTAATACTAAAGGGAAGCTATCAGTAATTGGAAAATAACTCAGAAATCTCAGGAAATCCCTGAAATTAACTGGATTCACTAGACCCCTCCCTCTCCATGCTTAAATAAGCAATAAGAACTGCTGAAAGACCCGCACTCTGTCACCTGTCACTCAGCCTGCAAGTAACACATGAGCTTTAAATTTCCAGGTTTTGTGAGCTGTCACTCATACTGGGGTGGGCTTTGTGCCTGTGAGTGACCCCCTGATATTCTTGAAGTGTCCCTAATAAACTCATTGTATCACCAAATTATATTTGGTAGTACCCTTACTTTGGTCTGTCATCAATTCCCAATCTGGGATGGAGAGATGTCTGCGCATGTCTCCCCAGGTGGAGCTTCATACAGTAATGTAAGAGCCAGGGAAAGCGGTAGAGTGGTGGAGAATGCCAGCTTCCAGTAATTATATAGCCATTGTGCTTTTGAACTCACAAAAATCAGTGGTTGCCTGCAAGAGTTAGAAGATATTGAGCCTGTGGATAGCCTGTCGTGAATGGAGAAAGGAGTTCTTAAGTCCCTGCCCCTCCCTAAGGATTTATATGTAGTTATGGGTGGTGGAGTGAGGGGCCTTCTCTTCCAGTGGTATAGTCACTTATAAGGTGCCTGTGTTCCTATTTTTAAAAAATCTCACTCATGCTCATATAAGCAACCGTAATGTAACTCCTTGGGCCACCAAAAAAAAAACACCAAAAGCCTTAGGAAGACTACTTGGAAAGAGACAGAGGATTAGCCAGCACTGAATGAAAATAAATGGGGATTATGGGGTATGTGTGGATAAAATCAGAATACAGAATATAAGTATATGAAAATTCCATTGTGTATAATTAATATAAAAATAAAGATATATGTATATGCATAAATGGTAGCTCCTAATTCTCCTCTGTTATGGAAATTCAAAGAGAGGCAGAAAGAGGCAGGTAGAAAAAAACCAGAGAAGAAACTCTAAGTTTTGAATTTAAATGAAGCTAAGAAATGAGAAGGGAAGAAGAGAAATGGTGAAAACCTTCAAATGGCATCAGACAACTGCACAAGTGGGAATCAAGAGAGAGACACTGCTCCCCCTTCACCTCTGAGAACAGTGGAGGTGATGGTGGGACCAGAACACTCCTCAAGGGATGTGTCTGAAAGGGAGTGGGGATTGAAGTCACAGAAAGCTAAAAGAAGTTATTTCTTAGGAGAAAGAAATGTATGGTTTATGAAGAAGAGAAGAAAAAAAAACAGAAGAAAATGCCCCTCAAAACAGGAGGAAGCTATCATATAGTGAAGGAACTTCACTGGGTTGACTTTGAATCTCAATAGCAGGACCCCATTTGAGCAGCCAACTACCTGGCACTCTTACTCCATCTTCAAAGTGGGAATTAAAGCATTGCCTGTGTCATGTCACAGATTTGGCTGTAAAAAGAACAAGAGTTATACCTATAGAGTACCCAGCACAGTATGGTCAACGCCTCTCAACACAGAATGCCAGAGACAATGGACTCTGGAGGCAGTGGGAAGGGGTTGAGATGGCAGGCCTTGGAGAGGTCCAGATGAGTCCTAGTCCTGTCCAGCAAGGAGAGGCAGTGACCTTGGGGTGAAGAAGCCAGGGCTGCCTAGCTCTTCAGACTTTTTTTCTCATCTTGTCCTTGCAGGAACCTCTCACCTCAGACAAAGGTTTCAAACAACCTTCCTGAACATTGAGCTTTCCATTTCTAGGATTGTTTTGCCTCCTCGCTTCTATTTCTATTCAAGCCACTCTTCCTTCCAGCCTCACCTTCAGCTGAGTTGACTTCTATCAAGCATCCTCCTCCTCCCTCTACCAGCAGGAGCCAGTAGACCCATGCCAACAACTAGCTGGGTGTGCTTAAGACTGAGAACCAAACACATACTAAAACTAAGAAAGGTCCACAAGTCAAGACAAGGCAATTTCAACAACAACAACAAAAATAAAAACTTCAGTCAGACTATGGGTCTGTGGAAACAACTAGTGTTGCCAACTCCTCACACAGAATCTAAAGCAATAAGAACTAAGACAAGAAACAGTATGCAGAAGCTAGTAACTGGCCTTTGTCACTGATAGAAGCATAGCTGAAGAAAAAGACTAACTGATTTACTGGGCCTTCAAGTGAGACCCCACAATACCAGGTGGAGTTCGCCCATATGTATGGGGAAGTTGAGGGTGATAGAGATTTTCTTGGCTCTTGGTGACATTAGCTCAGGGGCTAGGTCTCATAAAATATGAAGGCCACCAAAGCTGCCCCTCAAGTCAGTGGCTTTGGGGATTTGTCTTAGTTAGGGATTCTATTGCTGGGATAAAAACACATGACTAAAGGAAACTTGGGGAAGGAAGGGCTTATTTCACTCACCCTTCATATCAAGGTTCATCATCAAAGGACGTTGGGGCAGGAACTCAAGCAGGACATGAACTTGGAGGGAGGAGCTGTTGCAGATGCCATGGAGGACCGACTGTTGCTTACTAGCTTGCTCCTCATGGCTGATTCAACCTGTGGACCACAAGCCCAGGTGTAGCCCCACCCACAATGGGATGGACCCTCTGACAGCACTAATTAAGAAAATACCCTGCAGACTTGCCTAGAGCATAACCATATGGAGGAAATTTCTCAATTGTGATTTCCTAGCCTCAGATAATTGGCTATAGCTTGTGTCAACTTGACATTAAACTAGAAATGGGGAGAGGGACTTTACTCATGAATTCAAAGAGAGAAATTCACAGCCTTCAAAGTTTATTCAGTTTATTATAGGTTCACAGTTGGGGTCTTAAGAGAGAGCAAAAGATGGGGGCAGAGCTCCCAAATAGTAGGAGTGGTTCAAAAAATATGACACCATATGGAGCTGCTAGTATGGGGATCTTATACAATTTAGTAGAAACTGAGGTGAAGCATGGGAAGAGTGGTCTGGTAGTTCAAGGGGTCCAACCATGAAGTGTTCAGAAGCCTCCTCTCAATTTCACCATGTGTTCACATACAGTTTCCACACAGAGGTGAAAGGTGACATGGAACTGAGAACCGGAACTCTCTTTTTGGCATTCCTGGCCCTCAGCATGGACATTCTTAGAACTGCTGCTTTGGGGCCCCTGCCCCAATGGTTCTCATCACCTCTACAGGAAAGTTGGAAATGTAATGCCCAAGGAAAGTTCTAGATGTACAGGAGCTTGGTTTATACTTTCCGGTTCATCCATCACTCAAAAAAGGCACAGTAAATGAGTCAATAAGTAGAGAGAGGCAAAGGATGTTTGAAGGAATTTCTTTGAGAGATTTTCCTTGAGGAAATCAGAGAATTCCCTTTAATGAATCTGAGTTCAAGCTGTGCTGGGGTGAAGGGTAAACATGAGGAAATTTTTCTTGATTTTGCTCAATATGTCTGTTTTGTGTCTCATTTTCTTCTCTTAGTTCCTCTAACAGTTGGCTAGGGACTTTACAACTCAAAGTGGAGCTTCTTCCTACAACCCTCAATCTCTGCCACAGCCTGACTCTGTCCTGAAAGAGCCATAGTCCCTCTGTAGGCATACTAGGAAAGTAAAGATTCTGTTTTAATGGCTAGCTTTATGACCTAGAAGGTAAGAGAGCAGTCAATACTGCAGGTGTCAAACCAGACTAGCTTGAGTTCAAAAACTATATTCTAGGAAATGGTAGCTCACTTTTCCCATGGGCACAACGTGGGGAGCTGTTAGAATCAACTGGTCCAGAGAAGCCAGATGTCTAGACAGAAAAAAGAAATGATAGCACAAGTGTTAAGGTTAGCATCACCCAGCAGCATTAACTGGGATTTGGAAGAAGGTCTATGTCAGTCTCCAGAGCAGTGACTACTGGCCATACATAGTTACTAAGTGCTTGATGTGTGGTCATTGTGACTGAGGAACTTTTTTATTATTTTATTACAATTAATGAACACTTTAAGAAACAATCTGCCAAAGAAGTTACATGGATGTCTGGTGGATGCTAGCCTGCTCCTAAGTCACTGAATTACACCAAAACTCATGTAAAACTCTATTTTTAAAATTCCAACTAACTAATTTGAAATTAGTATACATAGTATATACATGCAGCTCCCAAGAGAGGTAAGGGCACCCTCATTTGGTGTCACAGTTACAAGCCTAAAGACAAACATAATTAAATTAGTATTGCTGCATTTATCTCTGAATAGGATGTATGCATGCCCAAGTGTGTGATTCCTGAGTAGGATGTCAAATTATAGGTGTAATTTAATTATAATTATATAATAAAAATAATGTAATTTTATTGATTATAGTTTAATTATGACGCAACACATTCAACTTCTTTTAACTACCAAGGCCACATTGTCCCTGGTGGGTGACTAAAATAGGTCTTAGCTATCAGTGACCTCAACAATGCCATGTAACAAAGCAGGCACAAACCCACAGGCTTAAAACAAAATGCATTTATTATCTCACGTGTGAATAAGTTGCAGTTTAGGCTGTGGTCAGGTTGGTGATTATCCTGTTCTCTGGATCTCAAGCACATGTATGGTAATTTCCTATTAACTATATAAGAATTGGCATGATTGGGTCATGAAACTTTTGTTTCTCCACAGTAACTTGTGTTCACCGAGAGTTGATTTTGAGGCAGGGCTCTTCCGGCTTTCCCAGAAGCCCTGGTTATGCTCCAGTGATGTGTGCCTCAGAACTGAACTAGAGTACCAGAGAGAAAATGAGATGAGTGCAAGTTTATGGGCAGGGGTGAAGATATTCCAAGGCAGTTGTTCTCAACCTGTGGGTCACGACCTCCTTGGAAGTCGCATATCAGATATTTACATTATGATTCATAACAGTAGCAAAATTTCAGTTATGGAGTAGCAACAAAATAATTTTTATGGTTGGGCAGTCCCCACAATATGAGGAAATGTATTAAAGGGTCACAGCATTAGGAAGGTTGAGAACCACTGCTCTAAAACTCTCTTATTATTGAAATAATGGACCCAAACAACTGGAATTATGCTACCCAGGACTCTCATTTGGGGGAGAAGAGAAAACCTGAAGCTTGACTCAGTCAGAACAGGAACTTTCTCCCCCCAAAAAGAGTTACAACTTGTCAAGTCAACCTGACAAAACTAGGATGGGTAGAACTCACCTTGACCAGGCCTGCTTAGATAAGCCCTCTACTTGAAGTTTCGCCTCACTTCAGGACCTGGAAGCTATGACCCTAAGTCCAGCAGCATGTCTATGTGAGGGGCTTGGGTTAGCAGGTAAAGCTACTTGACACAGAACTACAAGAAGCTGAAGGCAGATGCCCAGTTAGGTGACATTGGTGTAATTGCCCGGTTGCCAAGAACTGCAAGCAGGAGTTAGTAGACAAAGCTCCATGACCACAACACAACCAAGCAGAGTGGCAGTTCTGTTTATGGTAATGAGGCCTGGCCCTTTTCCCAACATTTTAAACATGAACACAGAACAGCTCCATGGATCTTAGAACAAGTCACCTGGTCCCTGATGAAGCTGGAAGTCCTCAGACAGAGGGATTCTGGGAAATGAAGATAGTGGCATCCAGACAGTGGCTTTCATTTTTACAGTTGACCTAATTTAAAACTTCAAGTTAGGTCTAAGAAATAAAGCAGTTCAACCAACTTAGCCCTGGAACTTAGCCCTTCTGAAATCTGTCTCACTATCTTTCATTCACCACCCCCTCCCCTGACATGTTGGATCACCCACCAGAGCAGAGTGAGGAAGACAACTGGTCAAGTTCTTTAGCTGCTCCCACTAATTCAGTTTTCTCACACTGTGGTGGTACCCCTGACGTACATACTGCAGGCAACACCCCAGGAGAAAGTCCAGTTTAATTAATCCTAAAAGCTTGGTCAGCCTTTTCATCTGACTAAACTCACTAAATCAAAAGCCCTGTGCCCAAGAGACAAATATCAATAACTCCCCCTCGGTGGTTTTGAAAGACTTATCAACCCTAAGCAAGAGCAGGAAAGGCATCAGCACACCAGGAAGTAGGAGAGATGCCTGCTTCGCAGACAATTTAGTTCAAGTGTGCTATTTAAAGTTGATTAGTATAGCTGGGTACACATCCCGGAAACCCCAAGTTTTAAGGTTAAGAGACGTCTTCAATAATCTTGTCTAAATTATTCGTTTGAGAATGAGGTCAACATGAGAGAGTCTCAAGCAGACAATGTTAATTCTCTGTCATTGTGACTCTTTCCCTAAGGAGTTTGAAATACCTAATCTTTGTCTGCTTAGTAGCACGGGATGGGAGAAGAGGACAATAATGACACTGGGCTCATCAGAATATTTCTCAAGTCTTTCGCATCCCTGTGTTCAATTTCTATGTGAAAATCTAATATGTAGATCCTAATAAAGATGTTCTACTCACTAAAACAATAAAGAAGTGTTAAGCCAAGAGGAAGAAGCCAGACACAGGGGGCACAGTGCATAGTTCTATTCATATGAAGTTCAAAAACAGGCAAAACTAATGTAAACTGTGGAAGGAAATCAAGAGTGTGTGTCTTCGAGCAGAGGGGCAAAATGGACTGGGAAGGTGTCTAAGGGAACTTTAGGGAGTGGTGAGTATATGCACTTGTTGGTGAGGCATACAGACACCTGCAACTTATTTTGAACTACATCAAAAATTAAAATAGAGAGAGGGGCCAGTGGGAAGGTTCAGCAAGTAAAGGTACTTGCCACATAAGTTTAACAACCTAAGTTGGATTCCAGGAACCCAAAAGAGTAAATTCATTCCATGGGGGTTTTCCCTATCCTACATATGTGTGTTGTATCACAAATATGCCTATATACATGCCATATGTGCTTAATAATAATAACTATAAATTTTATAATTAAAATGTGGTGGCGCACGCCTTTAATCCCAGCACTCGGGAGGCAGAGGCAGGCGGATCTCTGTGAGTTCGAGGCCAGGCTGGACCGACAGCCTCCAAAGCCACAGAGAAACCCTGTCTCGTAAAAACCAAAAAAAAAAAATGTAGAGTGAATAGGCAGAAATGTACAAAAAAGTACATTAAAATGTTAATTGCAGAATGTAGATACTAGGTATATACTTCAACCTAGAATTAAATCTTAGATAAATGCCAAATGCTGGCAGAGCAATAGAGGGCAAAGAATTTGTTATAAAAGGCTACAAAAAGGATAGAAAAGTTATTGTCTCATTGAAGGAAGACATCAGTGGGCAGGCCAGACATTCAGAACATTAGTTACGGTTGTTCTGTTAAAATACATTAAATACAAACTTGGTTGAGTTCTTACACTTGCTAAGTACTACGTCATTACGTATGCTCACAGCCCGTTAAGGATATCTCACCGTCTCCTCTTTTAATGGCTCCATCAGTTATCTGTCACATGGTGTGCTGCATAGCAAGCTGTTACAAAACCCAGTCACCCACAATAGTGAACAATGTTGCCCTGCATATGTTTGTACGGTTTGGCCAGAGATTACCAGCCCAGGTGCTTGGGCTCAGTTGGTCTG